CTACTGTAAGAAAGCACCACGCTTTTATTTTCTTGAAGTGTATGCATCCTCAACATCTCTCTGACTCCGATTGGGTGGGGATAAGACTCAGGGTGCAGAAAGGTGTTTTTGTTTTGGGGGTTTTTGGGGGGCGTGAGGGGTTTGCCTGTGTGCAGTGTTCTCCCTTCAGCTTAGTTCTCCCTCCAGATGCTTGGGCCCTGTCCCCAGAGATCTGATCGAAAGGTCTAGGTGAGGCCTAGGTACTGGGATTTTAAAAGTTCCCAGGTAATTCTCATGTACGGCCAAGGTTGCACCTTGATCCTTTCCAGTTTTCCATCAACATTTTCCACCTGCTTGATACAGAAGCCAGGTCAGGATTTGCCTTTGGATCTAGGCCATTATGATTCCTAATTTTAGCCCTAGACTTTTAGGTTTATAGATGTAGAGGATGAGGCCCAGAAAGGGACTGGGTTTCTTTCCAGGGTAGTCCTTACAGGTTGGCCAAAAAGAGAACGCTGACAGATACTTGCTATACACATTGAAACTGTAATGTTAGGCTGATCTTCATATGATATGTTATTCATATTTGGTTTATATTCATCTTTAAGATAAAGTCACAACTATATTGTTTAACTTTATAAGACAGTCTAATTGTCAAAATCTTTTTTCTCTTTAGTTCTAATATGCCTATGATATGCGAGCTCACGTACAAATATTCCATGTGTTGAGGCAAAAACAAAAAAACCCAAAAAACTCAGAAAGACAATGAGTAAATTCTCATCTTAAGGCCTCTCAGAATAATTACATACTTACTATTGGCCTTGGCCTTATGGGCAATGGGTAGATAACAAACCTAGGAAGAAATTTCATATCACCAATTTAATGCGATTGCTGAAAAACATTATTTTTCTTCTAATGGAATTATCTTTTGGGCAGGGATTTTAATTTAAAAAACAAATAACATGACTTTTTCCCCAGAGTAAACTTAAGTTACTTTTGTCAAGAAGAGCCTTAAACTGGTGCCCACACAGAGCAGTCAGTGCAGAGAGAGAAGACAGCCGGGCCCGTCCTGCTGAGTGTTCCCACGATGTTGAATGTGTGGCATCACGGCTGTGGTAGTGTGCTATCTCATGTTCAGAGACGGTGGGATGGAATACGGCATCACGTTTAATTGGAAGAGGAAGCACGCTCCGGTTTGTGTGCAGAGCAGGTATACTGGAGCAGAAAGGCCGGTGGTCGGCAGGGAGCCAGAACCCATGACCCTGGCGCCACGTGACCACATGAGGCTCCAGAAACCTGAAAGTGGGCTGAGTGCTCATTCCTGGGCTGGGCCGCGCTCCTGCTAACACATGGTCTGGCAAAATGACCACCCCACTCTGTATCTTTTCTGTATTACAAGTCAGCTGCTCTTCCCATGTTAGTGTTCCTCTTCTGGCCTCTTCACTTCCCTCATTTCTGTTCCTCTCCTCACCTCTCCTGAACTCTGACTCGTCCAGTTCTGCAGAGCACTATTTATGTTGGTGGCGCTGCCGCCGTTAAAACTGGGTTGTGTGAAAGTGTCTGTGCCTTCACTGAGCGTGTCTTGAAGATTGTTATTTTGACTTCATGGGTCGTTTTGGTGGGTGGCTAGACTACTAATGACTCTGAATAGTAACTTTGGAATTTTATGAATCAAAAAGACAGAGCTCCCACTACAAGTCGAAATGTGGGAGAATGCCTCGTGGGCTCTTGTGAGTCACACAGGGAGGAGGGAGAGGAGAACTTTACTGGCCTTAACGTACTTACTGGCCTTAACGTACACTTTGCTTTCTCCCCCTCCTGCAGGTCCCCCTCCTGCTTGTTACAGTCCTAGTAGTCCCGTCCAAATTCTGGAAGACCCCAACTACTTTTTCTCAGACTTTCCACTGTATTCTGGGAGGCATGAAGCGTCTGCTTTGACGGTGGAGGCAAACAGTACCATCAGGGAAAAAGTTGGTAAGTTCTTTTACTGGCACTTGTGTTGGAAAAGCAAAATGATCTTTTATGTCTCATTTTTAGCTCCTTTGCATAATTTGTTCTCTGTCATTTTAAAAATCAGCGTATGGCATTATGATTGTTTATTGGCGGGTGCCTTATCTTTAATGGTTGTGCTATGGTGTTAACAGACTATTTTACTATAATATGTGACTCAACAGAAAAGAGTTTCTAGCTATGTAGGAACTTCAGAATTATACCATTTATTCCCTAATTTTTCTCTAATTCCTAAATACGTTTTTGTACTCTTTCCTGGAATCTTTCACTTCTTTTCTCCTTCTTTACTTCATTGAATCTTTTGCGAATTATTTGGAACTGCCTTCTTTGTAAAAACTTTCTACCTATTTTTGAGGGCTTTTGAGATTGGTAAAACTATGAGAGAAACTTTAAAACCACCTTAGGGAAGAATCTCAGGGTCCAATGTCCTTATGAAAAGGGAATTTAATAGTTTTCATGCTCGATGAGACCCCATTCATTTTATTATTCATCCAATAATATCATTTTCCTTTGAAAATGTGTATTGTATTTGAATTTTTATTCATTTTATTCAGAAGTGTTGATTTTTATTTGAATTTGCTTGTTCCATTAAGCCTTTCAGAGCAGTTACCCTGAGGGTAGAGACTTGTCCTCTTTATTCTCCCACCCCAACACCTGTGAGAATACATAACTAAGAGGTTTTCAGTCAGTATTTGTAGAGTGAATGATGGCCCAGTTCAACCCACATTTATCTGTCTTTCCTTGGGTTGTTCATCGCTTATTACAGTTATTTGGCAATTCATCCTGAGTGGACTATCAATAATCTGTTTTTACTGTTTAAACTTTGGGTTGAACTTTGGGTTTATATTTCAGTTAGAGCGTACATTCTCTGAAGATGAGGAATAAGTTTGAATTTACTCCACATGCAGTCCTGTGAGGCAGATAGGAAGAAAATCTGCCCATTTTACAAAGGAGTGAGGTTCAGAGAAGCCAAGTAATTTGCCTGAGGTCACAGAGGTGTGATTTGAGGGGAAATAAGGGAGAGTGATATGATCAGAGTTGAGCTTCAGGAACCAGTAGGTAAAGTTCTTTAATTATGTTCCAAAGGCCTTCTGTGGATCCAGGGTAATGTTCTAGGCACTAGGGACACAGAATATGAATAAACAGATAAAATCTATGCCCTCTGGTGCTTAAATTCTATTAGAGGAAGGTGGATAATAAATGCTGTGTGGATCGAAAGAAGAGGCCAGAGGCAAGAGATATTAGGAGGCTATTCAGGACATTTAAGCAACTGATAAGGAGAGCCAGGACAGGGAGTGGCTGAGGGCAGCGGGCACAGAAGCTAGGGTTGCAGTCTTTGCTATTGCAAGGACACTAAACATGCCCTCTACTGTCACCTTTCATGACATTTTAATACCAAAAAGAGTAAGAGAGATGTAATCCTCGATAGCCCTTGCCAAAAAAAGACAGTAAACCTAATGACATGTTTCTATATACACATGTATATGTGTGAGTATATGTATAGTTATATATCTTGTAGGCATATCATACCACTTTTATTTTTCTCGTTTCACTGTGGGCTGAGAAAAACTAGCTTGGCAGTTGATTAAATATATGGAGCAAAGGAGACAAAAGGGTCAAAAGTGAATCTGAAATTTCTATTTGGATGACTCATATGATGAGGATACTATTTATAGAAAAAATGGCAACCTTGGGGAAGAAAGAAGGTTTTTGGGAAAATCACACGTTCTATGTGTATATAAAAGCACAGAGCTGTCATTGCATGGAATTGTAGAACTGAAAGCTGTAAGAGATGATCTCGTTCAGCTCCCACAATTTATAGGTGAGGATATTGAGCTAGAAGAGAGTAAGTGATTTCCTCAAGGTCATGCCAGCAGTCAGTGGTAGAATTTTTGCTATCATAATGCTATATAATATTCTCAACACACTATTTGCTAGTACTGTTGTGAAATAAGATAAATTTTATATTTCATGGAGCTCATGTAGTCTTTTACTAGTTAAATATTTGATCCTCCTCACTGGTCCGTGCAGTAGGGTGACCCAGAGAAGAGGATCTGATCCTTGCCTTTAAGAGTTTAGAGTCTTGTGTAAATAAATAATTGCCATTTATTGTGATAATTCCTCTAATGAGATATATACAAATGAAGCATGGCATTAGAGAAGGAGGGCTTAAACATGCTGGGCTGTAGCAGAAAAGGTTTCATGCAGAAGGTGGCTTTGGAGCTATTCTTGAAGAATGTCCAGGAGTTTCCTAGGAGGGCATGGTGAAATTCATCTTTCTAGGCAGAGGGAGGAATGCAAACGAAGACCTAGGGTCCAGAGAGAGCTAATATGTCTGACACTATATGTCCTTAGGTATTTCTGGAGCTTAAACTGTACAGGTTTGCCAGTAACCGCAGACTGGTGGTGGCATGGAATGTTGCTGGATAGCTAAGGCAGTACTTGCTACACCATATGATAGAATGTCAGTTTCATCTTGTAATTATTGGGGAATTTTGTGCAGAGGAGTGATATGATTAGATTTTCCTACCTGGATCATCCTTCAGGGTAGTGTAGAAGATAAGTTGGGGTCTGAGAGGTAGGTTTGGAAGTAGGAATAAGACTAGTGTCAGAGAAATAGATAAGGAGGCTGTTGGGATGGTCTGGGTATGAGACATCGAGGGCTTGTAATAGAGTGGAATGAACACATATTTTGTTGGAATGAGTCAGATCCTGGCTATGTCTCTTCCTACCTCTATGACCTCTGTGATTTACCTTCTGTAAACCTCTTTCCTTATCTGTAAGATTGGAGAAATTAATATCTGCCTCATACGATTATATATGGAATAAATGAAACAATATATGGAGAGAATTTAGTACAACATATGGCACATCATATGCACTTTAAAATGGATCTTGCAGTTGTATTGTGGTTATTAATAATCAACATGGAGATTGTCATGAGGATAAAGAGGAGAGTTGGGGAGATGTTCTGAAGGTAGAATTGATAGGCAGCCACTGACTGGATGTTGAGGATAAAGGAGAGGAGGGAATCTTGGGAAACTCCCAATTTTCTTACTTGGCAAAGAGTAGACAAGGCAGTGATATGGGAATCGGTTGGGTGGGTAAGTGGTGAGTAAGGAAGACACATTGAGTTTGAAAAACTCATAGGCCGTCAGCTGGTGGTTATAGATGTGTGGGTCATGGGTCAGTTGAAGATGAGCAGTGATCGTGAAGACCCAGGAGAGTCTGTTGAGTGAGGGTGGAAGAGCACTCAGGGCAGAGCTGTGGGAAACACCAGAATTTAAGAGGTAGGTGGAGAAAAGAGAGGCAGGAGCCAGGACCAGGAGGGGAATGACCTGGATGCGAGGTTAGGAGAGCATTTCAAGAAGAGGGTGATCAACATGCCAAATGCTTTAGGAAGTTTACTTGTGTCATATGAGAGCTGGAAAATTCTCACTGGGTTTGGTTACTAATCAGAGCAGTGGAGAGGGCAGTGGATGGAGCATTCGGAAGGTGGAGACAGCCAAGTGTAGCTTGCTTACTGAGGACAATTAAAAGAGAAGAGTAAGAGAGAGGCAGGGTGGCAGTTAAAGGTATATATATGTAGGACCATGAAAAGGTGGTTTGTTTTTGTTTGGTTTTGGTTTTTGCTTGTACTTTTTTTAAGATGGAAAAGACTCGGCATGTTTCTATGAAGAAGAGAAAGGACTAGTGGGGAGAGTAAAGGAAAGGGAGGGCTTAAAGGATGGAGCAAGGCCTAGAAGGAAGCGGGAGGCAGAATGGAGAGCAGTAGAGACGCTGAATTGAAGAAACTTCCATGAGAAACTGCCGGGTACCACGGAGGCGCTGGTGTATTTGAGATCTTATCTTTAAATGCTCCCACAGTTAGAATGTTAATGATTCACCACATACTCACAGACCTATATTCCTGTGCAACAGCCTGATACCTTTTTTCCTATGTTTACCTTTTAGTTGAGGATCCTCTTTGTAACTTCCACTCCCCAAACTTTCTGAGGATCTCAGAGGTGGAAATGAGAGGTTCCGAGGATGCGGCAGCTGGAACAGTATTACAGCGGCTGATCCAGGAACAACTGCGGTATGGCACCCCGACCGAGAACATGAACTTGCTGGCCATTCAGCACCAGGCCACAGGGAGTGCAGGTCCAGCCCACCCGACAAACAACTTTTCTTCCACGGAAAACCTCACTCAAGAAGACCCACAAATGGTCTACCAGTCGGCACGCCAGGAACCGCAGGGTCAAGAACACCAGGTGGACAATACGGTGATGGAGAAACAGGTCCGGTCCACACAGCCTCAGCAGAACAACGAGGAACTGCCCACTTATGAGGAGGCCAAAGCGCAGTCCCAGTTCTTCCGGGGGCAGCAGCAGCAGTCGCAGCCGCAGCCGGGGGCTGTCAGTCATGCTTACTACATGGCCGGGGGCACCAGTCAGAAGTCACGGACTGAGGGGAGGCCCACGGTGAACCGGGCCAACAGTGGACAAGCGCATAAGGACGAGGCGCTGAAAGAACTTAAACAGGGCCACGTCCGCTCTCTCAGTGAGAGAATCATGCAGCTGTCACTGGAGAGGAATGGTGCTAAGCAACACCTCCCTGGCTCAGGGAACGGAAAGGGGTTCAAGGCAGGAGGGGGACCTTCCCCCGCCCAGCCTACAGGTAAAGTGCTGGACCCTCGAGGTCCTCCACCCGAGTACCCCTTCAAGGCCAAGCAAATGATGTCCCCGGTCAGCAAGACCCAGGAGCACGGACTTTTCTACAGTGACCAGCACCCTGGGATGCTCCATGAGATGGTCAAGCCTTACCCTGCTCCTCAGCCTGCAAGAACAGAAGTGGCCGTCCTGAGGTACCAGCCACCCCCAGAATATGGGGTAACGAGGTGATTATCAAGCCTAGAGGTTTCACTTGGCTTCTCGAAATTTAGCAGTCATGTTTTTAGCACATGTTATCTTCAAGGCATGCTAGGTTGTTGTCATCGGTTTTTTTTTTCCTTGTGTGCAATATTTATTAAGCCACTTTTTGGCCAAAATATGTAGAGTGAAACGAACAGAGGGGGCAGTTGGGGATTTATGAGTCTAAGGGAGGAGCTTCGGTTGTTGGCTATCCTTGGGAGCTCTGCCGAGTGGCCAGGCAAAACAGCAATTTTCCTGGCTGGCTTCGTGGAGAGCGTCCAAACTCCTGGAACATATTATTACCACAGGGTTTTATAGAGTCTTTCTTTATTGTAGATTTTAAAGAGAAATGTAGTCTGAATGCTAGAACAGAGGAGTTAAAGGGTCCGTAGAAATCATATAGTCCTACCCCCTATTCAACATATGACAAGATAAAGTCTGGAGAGATTAATAAACGTCCACAGTACACAACTCTGAAACAGCTGGAGCTTGGCTCAAATATCCTGACCATCAAAATCTTTTCCCTCTATTACCCTAAGTCCTCTTCCGACTGACTGATAGATTCACAACACTTGCTGAGTGTGTTTCTTGTGCAGCCCTGTACCAGGTTCAGGGATAAAAAGATATGGTCCTCACTCTCAAGGACCTTACAGCAGTGTCTCCGGGGAAACCAGCTTCTGAGCACATCATTCCAGTGCAGTGCGCTGTTTTCGGATGGAAGTATGCAGAGAGTAGTAGTATGACCAGAGAAGATAGTATGACTCACAACGGGAGGGACTGGGGAGAGCGTCTCAGAGGAGGTGACATTTGGGTCTTTAAGAATAAATAAGAGTTTCAGGAAAGAGGTGAAGTAGCAGGATGTACTATGCAGGGAGAATGCCATTTCTTCGGACAGAAAGTTTAGGAGGTTTTGTCTGGGATGAGGTGCAGTAATGCAGAGCACTGGTGGGGTATGGTGTGCTCAGAAGTGGCTGAAGATGTGTTTAAACAGGGGAGTTGAGACCAGAGAGTGAGGGTCTTTGAGTGTCCGACTAAGGAGTTTAGAATTTATAAACAATTGGGGAAACCAGTGTTTTTAAGCAGAGACTATGTTGACTTCAATGGCAATAAAGGATGAATAGGAGGAAAGGGAGAATGGGGCCCTGAGGATCTTCAGGGACAGTTCCAACGGTCTAGATAATAATCGGTGAGGCCATGGTTTAGGGGAGCATTATATGCTAAGAGAGATAGGGAAATAGAATTGACAGGATTTAGTGATTGATTAGATGTGGAAGTTGAGGAATAAGGCAATTGGAAATAGGGCAAGCTCCCAAAAGAGAAATTGGGTCTAAAGATTCAAGTTTGGGATTTGCCAGCATTTCGATGTTGCTAAGCTTGCTCGGGGAGAGCATGGAGCATGAGAAGAGAAGACAAGTGGCCACTGCCTATTATTGGATATGTCTTCATTCTCACAAAGGGCTTTATTTATCTGTTTTAAAATGATATCCCCATGTGGGGCCCAGCAGATGTGTGCAGGGCATACCTTGGCTGTTCATCATCTGTAAAGAGAGTGCTGGGCCTTGGTAGAGAGAGAGCTGGCTAGCCCATCATCCACTTCTTCCCTGCTACTGACAGCTTTCCCTCCATGAGGTTGGGAATGTCAGCTTTGAAACAGTATACCAAGGTTTTGACCTCTGACAGGTAGCAAACTCATTCTTCCAAAAGGGAGCATAGTCTGACCCCACTGGGGAATCCAAGTTCCCAGGGGGTCTTGTCCTTACCCTTTTATAGTTCCTTAAGCCAAAGGGGAAATTTAAACTCAGAATCCGGTTTAGAGAGGAAAAAAAAGTCTTCAAATCTCTAGTATTTGTACCGCACTGATTTACCATAGTTGTTTAAAATAATCCATTATGTTTATCCCAGAATCATATCAGAGTTTGGTTTGCGATATTTCACATTTTTTTCCTGAACATTTAACTCAGCCTGTTAAGAGCTTGACAGAAGGTGAAAATATTCTCAAATGAAATCTCCTTCCTTCTTTTGGTTTTACTATTTGTTAAATGGCAATGCAGAAAATGGATCGTTTTGCTTTTTGTCACTTGGCAGTAGGTGGGAGACATGGCAAGGGGAGGAGGGAAGCACTTCTTGGAGGCTTACCCAGTTATGTGTGGAAAATGTCATTTGTCTCAAATTTGTGACGTCAAAAAGAAGAAGAAATGTATGAGGGATTTGAGCCAATTACCAGGCTTGGCAGCTGCATCGACATGACACATTAAAATGTCACAGAAACGTAACAGACAGACCTTTGAGGCTGGGACCCAGAACTACAAGGCCCCTTTGTGAGCTTGGCCATGGCTAGCCAGCACGGCTCCAGTGGCACAGCCCTTGGCTGACAGGGTAAACAGAGTTGTGCCCACACCAGCCCTGCTTCAGACACGTTCAACGTGGCCTGAACTCCAAGTGCTGGATCGGAAACTCAGTAGTGCATGATGTTCAAGTTAACTTTGACCCAAAAGATAAGTAGAACTCTTTCTTCCAATTTCACTGACACATTCCCTTGTGCTTGAAAGGTTATTTGTCATTAATAGTGACGGTTTAGAAAGCTGTAAGCTATTGCATCAACATATCATAGACTTGTGGATGAGAAGGAAAGGCCTCTGAGTGAGTTCCCTGAGTCCATCTCTTTGCCTTGTGCTGCAGAAATGGTCTCAGTGTGTTGCAAATATTCAATGCTTTGGTCCAACCCCAGGGAGAGGCTGCTAGTCAAGGCCTGGTTGACTTGTACCACCTTGTCCTGGGTGAGCTAGTGAGGCTGGTAGAGGTGGAGGGACTAAGGTGACCTCACCTGACCGAGGTAGCTGGTGGAGACCTCCAAGAAACATGAGCCAGCTCCGGATGAAGCCTTTGGTTTTGTTCCTGCTCCATCTTCCTTTTCTTTCATCCTGAAAGTGGAAATGGGTAGAAATAAAGACAAAGTAAGATGGAATAGGTTGTTCCGTGGAGAATTGTGCTTTAAAAAAAAAAAGACAAGCATTTGGATGTTAATTCTGACTCACTTTGTGGAAACAGAGCACTTCTAGAAGCAGTGACTTGGCTTATGCAATCTGTACTGTTAATGGAAGTAAATGCATGAATGGATACCAGTGGATGATCTGATTTTTATCAAAACAGTTTGGTGTACATTAATCAAATGCATGTTCATTTTCCAAAGAAATCTGTCCACATTTCCAAAACTTAAAGTATCCTACTTTTTCAATACAACCACTGTTAACATCTTTCCTATACAAATTATTTTTTTCACATGCTATAATCATAGATTATATTCAGTTTAGTATCTTAGCTTTTTTTAGATAGTATTTTATTACAATATTTTTTCCACAATCTTTGTTTCCATAATCATCTTTTTTATTGCTGCATAATATTTCATAAAGTATATAATTTACATCACTTTATAAAGAATGTGAACATCATCATGCATGTCAAATTTTCCATATTTTGGTTTAATTCTTTAGGAATCATTATTTAGGTTAAATTATTGGATAAATTGTAGTGAACATTTAATGACTTCTGATACCAGATAACTATAAAAATATTACAGTCCCTGTTTCACTGTACTTTGATCAACGTTAGGTCATTATAATTAGAAAAGCTTTGCTAATTTAATAGGCAAATGCTGTTAATGCCTTATTTTAATTTGCAATTATTAGCTAGGTTAACTTTGGGGAAGGTATATTTTACTAGTCAGATTTGTTTGACCTTGAAAATTGGCTCTTTGCGGTTTGTGGTCATACGATTTTTATATTTTAATGGCTTCAGAGTAAACTAAAACCTATTTTCTTTAACACTTGCTCTGATTTTCCAGTTTCTGGGATTCCGTTTCCACCATTGGCAGGTTACAATAGAGCAGGCATGGTGGGGGCGGCAGTAGGACTAAACCATCAAGTGCCTACTGTGTGCCAGGCACTTCATGTAGGTTATCCACCTTAATCTTTACAACAGTCCTAAGGGGGTGTTTAATATTCATATCTCTATTTTCACATATGATGAAAACTTAGAGAAAGAGGTCAGAGTAGCTTAGTCGCAGGTACCAGCTGGGAAGAACAGAAGCCAAGGTACAAACCTGGATCTCGTTGCCATACACTGCACCTCCCGTGAGGTTGCATTGTATGTATGTGCGTCTACTGTATGTTGCAGTGGAGGCGAAGATTTACATTCTTACCTGGTGTCACTTATCTGCTGAATTTCTAATCAGGTTTGTATATCACACTTAATGTCCAGTCTGTGCTCTGCCCACCTCCATTTTTTTTTTTTAGGAGGACCAGAATACTGATAAAGTACTCCAGACTCTAGGAGGAAAGTCCTCCAGATATCCTTCCTCTCCAATACCCTGACAGATTGTAGGAGCAAACTTAACATTGCTGACAGCTCCAGGCTGTGGGCCTTAGTCGGTCTTGGGTTCGTTTTCATTCAGAAGTGGGGACTTCGAAGAGTGTTGTTTGTTGCCTTAGACTGTTTTTAGCAGAAAGTTTCAGTTATGGAAGATAAGAACTATTTTAATAATTAGTTTTTTTGCTTCAGGCAGTATCAGTTTGGAAAAAGTGACTCCCGTTGGTGAAGAGAACACTTTTTTCCCACTCTCTGAGCCTGTCCATTGCTTTTGTTGCCCTTTATCTCGGCTGGATCTTTCCTTTTCGGCATAGGAAGTTTGATTTACCAACTGCCTGGAAACAGAGAGCAGAGTGGTAACTTTATTGTTAATATTTTATTCATCTGTGAATATACGAATTTGATTTTTAGTACATAGATACTTTATAAAACCAGAATTGCTGGAGTTTGACCCAGCCCTTCTGTCCTAAGCTGATAAAAACATCTTATAAGATGATGTCAGAGGCAGAGGTGCTATGGATTTCTTTCCACAGAGCGTGCTCACTTTTCTTTGTGGCCACTGTTCATCACCACCCTTCCCATCGGTGCAGGGGGCTTGCAGTTAGTTTCCTGCATGCACAGA